CCCACTTCGAATAATGTCACTTAAAGTAGAAAAACTCCCTTATATATTATACTTCGGGGTGGTGTAGAAAAGGAGGTGTGACAACTCTGGCGATCCTGCTGGGGAAAAGAACCCAGAACTTTGGTTCAGGGTTCAGAATTCGAGCTTAGATGAATTGTTATATTTGGCTTTATCTGTTTTCTGATTTTATTTCATGTTTGGGCCTAATATGCTAAATGATGTTTTTACCGCTTTGATATTATCTGAACTGTATATAAACTGCTACGAAACCCTTCTCTTCTCATCTTCGGGGATGTGCTCGCTGGCCGAGACTCCCTATTCTGTTAGTGTCATACCTTGAAATAAGAAAGAGGCTCTGATAAGTTACTAAGCCGGATGGCCTTTTGGTTCCCGGTACGTAGCCCCCTCCTCGGCTCGAGTTGTCCGCTGGGGTACACAGTCTAGAACACATACCCAGGTTTTGAACTTAGAATAACTCAGCCTCATGCCGGATCCCTAGTAGGAACGCTTGTTTGCATCATGTGCATTTGACTTAAGGGACTCAACACAGGGGTTGTGTCCGTCTAGGACAGGTGTACCCAGAATCAAAGACCATCCTGATGCATATTTTACGTGCTACTTGTACAATTCTTTGCTTCGGTTTGCATGTTGACCGGTTGCTAGAATAGGGAAGGAATTGGAATATAAAATTGAGGTATGAGAGAGTTGATTAGCCGTTTTTGAAAAAAAAAACCTGGTGTCCAAAATAAGACGAAACTCTGCCGAAATTTTGAAAAAAAAGAAAAGAAAGAATTTGGTTTCAAACGTTTTATCTCTTTTCTCTATTTTTATTGTGTCAAATCTTACCGAACTACGCCAGTTTGATTCTCACAGGATGTGGGATACGTAGGCAACCCTTATCGGGTCCAACTTCCCTTTTGCAAAAATAGCCCAAAAAGAACCAAATTTTATTGCCTTGTTGTAAATAAGTAAGGTGATGCCATTCTTGTCAAAATAGCCGAATATCCCAAAAGGACGCCGGAAGGCTGCTTTTGCAAGAACAGCCGCCTTTGGTCTCTTTTTCAATTTTTTGGCCGGTTAGCGAACACAACCTTAAAATCTTCCCCCGGAAGTGCTGAAAGGCCGTATTTGTAAAGCCGGGTTTTTACTTTTGAAATGAAAATCTGAAAAAGTGTCAGCTTTGTCTTCAAGTCAAATAAATCATGATTTACTTAATCACCCTAATAAATGTGCAGAATGAGCACGAGTCAAAATTTGCCAATAACAATCATGAACAAGATCCCTTTGGAGTTGTATATGTGGTGGGATGATCTGGGTAAATCAGGGTAAGATAAGGTCAATCAATATTTGGGAGGCCTCACCGGGTTGTTGAAGATTAGGCCTAGGGGAGACATCATAAAGGCGTTGGTTACATTCTGGGACCCGGCCCACAACGTGTTTCATTTCTCAGATTTTGAACTCACCCCAACTTTGGAAGAAATAGTCGGGTATATTGGGAGCGCTGAGGTCCCTCTGAGACACAAGTACCTGGTTGCTCCAAGAGCCGTCGCTATTCACAAATTTCTAGACTCTTTAAAGATAAGCAGGGGGTTCCACAACCCAGATTTGGCAACCGGTTTTTCCACTCCGCAGTTTATATACCAGAGATAAGGCCACATAGGAGGGTTTAACAATCCGGAAAACAAAATTTGTAGCAAAGGGAACCGCCTCAAATGGGAAGAACACAGGCGTTTTGCTTTTATGGTAGTCTTCTTGGGACTTCTGGTGTTTCCTAGGAAAGATGGAAATATCGACATACGAGTAGCTGGGGTTGTCAGCACTTTGCTTACTCAGGCCAAAAGCACCCTCGCACCCATGATAGTAGCTGAAATCTTCCGCGCTCTCACGGCTTGCAAAGCCGGAGGAGACTTTTTTGAGAGGTGCAACTTGTTGCTGCAGATGTGGATTATTGAACTTCTATTCCATCGTCCTCCATACATGAGTTATGGGTCGACAGAGAAAACCTGCATAGAGGAATTTTACACGAGGGTTGATGGGATCAGCTTGCCAGAAGGGGTCACAGAATGAGTATCACACCTCCGTTCCATCACCGCAAACCAAATAGAATGGACGTTTGGATGGCTGTTTGTGGATGAGATCATATACATGCCGGCTACCGGGCCTCATTTCCTCTTGATGGGTCTCAGGAGTATCCGGACTTATGCCCCGTATCGGGTTTTGAGACAGCTGGGAAGATGCCAAATAGTTCCAAAAGATGAAGATCTTAGTGCTCAAGTAGTCGAAATTGGTCCTAATGGCCAATTTCATGTAGCAATCCGCCAAATTTGGAGCGAGTGTCAATACTTGATGGCAAATACATGTGTACGTGATCGATCCAAAGGTGAAGTTTCAGCAGGGTACCTTGCTTGGTATAGAAGGGAAGTTGAGTTTGGGAGGCCGGCCAAAAGACCCCATCTTTAGGAATTTGTCGAGGCGTCACAAGAACAGTGGGCTTGGTTGGCCAAGGAGAATGAGTACAGGACCACAATAAGCAGGCTAGAAAAGCAAGTCAAAGACCTTCAATTAGAGAATGGTTTGCAAGCCGCGGCGGATGAGGGTGAAAAGAAAAGGCTAGCCAAAGAAAATGAGGCCCTTCAAGCCCAGATTCAGAAAATGAAAGCGGCAGCCGAAAATCCCGCCAGGAGTGCAAAAGATGAAAAGCTTATAAAGAACCTTAGGCAGAAGGTGGATGAGTATGGTTTTGATTTGAACAAAGCAGAGGGTGACTTAGCCAGGGCTCAAACAAAATTGGCTAAGAATGCGGAAGAACGAGCGCGCCTGTTTAAACAGTTAAAAGAGAAATACAACGATGAGGTTGCGGGGTTGAAGAGAAGGGTCATCACCTTTGAGAACAAAATAATCAAGCAGGCCAAGGACTTTAAAGCTGATAGGGAACACTGTTATGATTTTATGGCTCGAATGGAGGAAGAAATACAACAGTTGCAAAGCCAAAACCATCACGACACTCAGGTTTTGGAAGCCCGGAATTAGCAGGTCGGGCGTTTACTTCAGGAAAAGGGTAGAATCCGAGAGAGGATCAGAGCCATTGCTGACTACATTGTCGTGAAATGCCAAGCGTGCGAGGACATGACTCGTACCACTTTCTTCGTTGCAGTGATGACGTTCGTCCGCCGGATAATGGAAGATCTCTACCACCTCCAAGGGGATTTAGCGCATAGGCCCGTGGCGAGACCGAATGATGTCCCGCAGGCCCCAGGAGCAGTTGAGGCATTGATGTATTCATGATTTTCATTGGAGTCTGTTAGTCTGTTTTCGAGTCTGTATTTTCATCTTTCTATCAGAGTCTGTTAATTTGTTTTGAGTCTGTATTTTCATCTTTTCATCAGAGTCTGTTAATTTCTCTTTGAGTCTGTTAGTTTTTGAGTCGTTATAATCAAAGCATTTTCTTTATAAGAAAAAAAAAGATTTTGAAAATCACAAAATGTTTTATTATTTATTTTTACATTTATCTCCCAAAACTACGCTCGGTATGATTCATGCGGGGTCATGATACGTAGGCAATCTCCATAGGATTCGACCATAACCAAAAAAAAAAGGAGAAGAAAGGAAAGAGAGCCGAAGAAAAATCAAAAGAAAAATGAGAAAAGAGAGCAGAAAAGAAATAGTGGAAATTTGAAAGCGAAAAAAAAAAGAGAAGAATTGGGAAGAATAAGTAAAGCCGGGATGAACTATACAACCGTTGCAGACATGTAGAAACACATTTAACTATATAGGTGCATCACATCCCCAACGTGCGATTACCTATCTGTTATTTGTTTCAAACTAACCGTTTGGTTGCGGTTGACCAGTCCAGGTTTTATAGAATGGTGGTTGGTTTTTGTGGTAATCTGGCTTCGCACTCATACTTTACGAGATCAAAAGGGAGCATCAAAATGTCTTCAGAAATGACTCTGCCAACAATTCCCATCATGGATGATAGTCCAATCTCAGGCATCCCGACCTCAGAATCGGCAGCTGCCGAAGAAAACAGAATCCTGCGTCTCCGGGTTATGGAAATGTGGGACACTTGGGCAAATGGAAGAGAGCCACCAAGCGCAATTCCGGGATTCCCCGAACTCTTTCCTAGAGCAAGCGGTGCCTCCACTGTCCCGATCAGTCACCCAAATACACCACTTGGACACCCAACTATCTCAGCTCATTTTGTAGGAACACCTTCTGAGGTTCGCCCCCAGGTGTTAATGTCCGGTGCAGCTTCAAATATCTTCACCGCTCCACCTTGCTCGGCCACGGCACAGCCTATACTGCCCAGGCCTAGTTTTGACCCATCAGCTTTCACCTTTAAAACACCCACCTTCCCAATGGAACCTCCTCAGTTTCCTACTTATACTTACCCTCAACCACCCCGGTATGAGTTTACTGCGGGACAAGAAAAGACCACCAAAGCTCCTGAGCAAGAAGAGATTGCAAGGAAGATGAAGAGTATGGAACAGAGTCTCAAAAGCATACAAGGCTTGAGTGGACAGAAAAGTGTGTCCTATGCCGACTTATGCATGTTCCCTCATGTGCATCTACCATTGGGATTCATAACCCCAAAATTTGAGAAGTATGATGGACATAGTGATCCTATTGCTCATCTCAAGATATATTGCAACCAGCTGCGAGGAGCCGGTGGAAAGGAAGAACTCCTCATGGCCTATTTTGGAGAATGTCTGGTTGGCATCGCGTCTGAGTGGTACATGGACCAAGATATATCCCGCTGGCACATCTGGGATGACCTTGCTAGAGATTTCGTCAGGCAATTCCAGTACAACATTTATATTGCTCCAGATAGGAACTCATTGACAAACTTGAAGAAGAAGTCCTCAGAAATCTTTCGAAAATACGCAGTTAAATGGCGTGAGCAGGCCTCCAGGGTAAAACCTCCGATGGATGAGATTGAAATGGTCATAGCTTTCCTCTAAGCCCAAGAAGCTGACTACTTCCGAAATATGATGTCCGCAATGGGTAAGCCGTTCGCTGAAGCCATCAAGATTGGCAAAATGGTTGAAAACGGGTTGAAAACGGGTCGAATTCTAAGCCAATCCGCTATCAGAGCTACCTCCCAAGCCATTCAGGGTGGGTCCGGAGGAGTAGCGAAGGGCAAGAAAAAGGAAGAAACATCCATGGCAGCGTCGGGTGCAAGAAAACACCGTACTCCCAGATCCCTTTTCTCAGAAAGGACCTCGCAGCACTATTACCCCCACCAGGGCGTGGCCTATGCTCCTCAGCCATACACGGTCATGAATGCTCAACCTTATGTCCGGCCGCAACAACAAGCCAACCGGAATCAAGCTCCATTTCCTAGAAACCAGCCTCCTTACCAAAACCACTACAACCCCAGCCTCCACAAAACAATTTCCACCCTCGTGAACCACCTAAGAGGCCAAATTTTACACCAATCGGTGAATCCTACTCCAGCCTGTTACCAAAGCTTGTTCAAATGGGTCTACTACAGCCTGTTCCTCAAACCAGGCAAAACCCAGCATCACCCGCTTATAGAGCTGGTGCCCGATATGCCTATCACTCAGGGGTAGAAGGGCATGACACAGATGATTGTTGGACTCTGAAGAGAGCCATGGAGAACTTGATAGAACAAAGGAAGATAGTGCTAAGGGATGAAGATATTCCCAATATGACCAACAACCCACTGCCGGCCCACAATAACGGGCCGGTAATCGGAATGATTTGCGAGGACAAGGAATTTGACCCAGCGTTGAAGGACATCATTGCCATCGCTGATGTAGAAAAGAAACCAAAAGCTGCTCCGAAGCAAGACAAAGGGGAGAAAAAGAACAAAACCACCCCTCCAAAGTCGGAGAAGAAAGTTGAAGTTGAAACTGGGGTAACGCCTCCCAAGGATGTTGTTCTCTATGTCCCTCGAGGCCGCAAAGAAAAACAGATGACATTGAGTCCTCCTAGGAGATTCCAGCTGAACAAGACAACCCAAATATATGTGCCCAAGGGAGCTTATGTGATGCGGGGGACAATTAATCCAGCAAGGCTGAATGAGCCCGTGGTTATTGGACGCGCGCCACTGAAGCCTATGACAGATCCTGCCGCTGTGCCCTGGAATTACAACAAATCGGTGGTGACCTATAAGGGCAAAGAAATCTCAGGAGAAGTTCAAGAAAATTACCCTTTTAAAAAGTACTCCAATTTGGAAGAGGTGAACAATGCCACTAGAAAGCGCTTCCCATCTAAGAAGCCCGTGAGTGCCGAAGAAGCAGAAGCCTTCTTTCAAAAGATGAAAATGGCGGATTATGAGGTGATCGACCAGCTTCGAAAATCTCCCGCACAAGTCTCCTTGTTATCTCTGTTGATGAACTCCACTGAACATCAAAAGGTATTGATCAAGACCCTTAACGAAGCATATGTGCCGGTTGAGAGTTCTGTAGAGCAGTTGGAGAGAATGGCAGAAAGATTTTTCGCAATCAACCAAATCTCCTTCAGCAAAAATGATTTGCCCCCAAAAGGGGCCGCACACAACAAAGCCCTTCACCTGACAGTCAAATGCGAAGGGTATTATGTGAAAAGGGTTATGTTGGATGGTGGTTCTGGGGTAGATATTTGCCCACTCTCAACTTTGCAACGCATGGAAATCGGCACCGAGAGAATCCGACCCAACAATGTCTGTGTACGTGCTTTTGATGGCATAAAAAGGGACACAATAGGAGAGATTGATCTGATCCTAACCATCGGCCCAGTAGACTTCGAAGTAACCTTCCAGGTTTTGGACATGGACACTTCTTACAACTTTCTTTTGGGAAGGCCGTGGATTCATGCAGCGGGGGCTGTACCTTCTACTCTCCACCAGATGGTGAAGTTCGAGCATGAGGAACAAGAGATTGTGGTCCATGGGGAAGATGAGCAATCTATTTATCGGGACCCGAGTCCCGTGTCTTGAAGCAAGAGAGGGGAGTGAGCACATAGTCTATCAGGCTTTTGAGATTGTGGTCGCGGACCAGTACGAAGAAGGAAACCCTTGCCCCCAACCTTCCTTTCAAATGCATCAATCATGGTGGCCAAAGAAATGATCAGGCATGGCTACAAACCTGGGAAGGGGCTTGGGAAATCATTGCAAGGAATAGTTGAACCTATCACCCTGACCGCCGGTGAAAAGTTCTTTGGGGTAGGCTTCCGACCCACTCCAGCTGATGTAAAATGGGCAGATGATAGAAAGAATGATGGTTGGGTCTTGCCTCAGCCGGTGCCGCATCTGTACAGAACATTTGTCAAGCCAAAATACCATGAGGAAGAAGAAGATGAGGCCTTTACGGCCGAAGAAAATGAAGAGATTTGTGGGGCAATGAGGAAGATATTGTATGAAACCCACATGGTCCAGCCAGGGGAAGGCTCAAGCACCGCTGAGGTGCTATACATAGGACCTGAGGCAAAACTACAAAATTGGAATGCTACACCATTCCCAATCAGGCGGGAGTCCCGGTAGACTTGTCCTGCCACCTTTTCTGCATCACGAGTTATTCTAGGGTGTAACTCGGATGTTTTCTTTAGTTTCATGTCTTTTAATTTCCAATGTAAACCCTGTTATCTTCCAAATTCAATGAAATGAAATCAATATTTCATCGTCCATCTTTCTTTATTCCTTCTGATTTTGTTATTTTTTATTTCTTCTTTTAGTTCTAATAATGCGGCTTTAAATAACATGATATGCTTGCGGATTTCATGCCCAGATCCAAACACGCTGTCTAACTGTGAAATAATGAACCAGGAACCGGAATATGACGAAGAAGAGGCTTTTAGGGAAATAAATAGGGAGTTGGAACAATTTGAGAATAAAC